AGCAGAAGAGATAGACCTGCTATCAGCAAGAGATGGGGCTCCTTCATTATGGTAGTAGCACCATGTGTAGACTTTGTTAGAACTGATCAGCGGCGTAGCGTGGGTTGTCAGCACCCGGGGCAAGGCAAGTAATTTGTGCCAACTAACCCGGGGCAAGGCAAGTAATTTGCGCCCCCTAACCCCTAACCTGCTGCCGCTGCCAGCTTCTTCTTGCTGCTGCCTGGTCTGGTCTGGTGTGGTTCTCTCCCGCGCTCAGCGCTGCGCTGGGCGGCCGCTGCACTGTCCCTCCCCCAGATAGTCCCTCTCTCTCTGCACCGCACGCCTGGCACCCACCCCCTCCACAGTGGGCAGTGACCCAGCGGCTCGTATCAGATTCGCACAGCCAGCACTGCAGTGAGAGAGAGTGAGCCAGGTAGGGGCAGAGAGCTGCGAGTGCGAGCGCGCCCCCCCCAGATGTTGCGCCCCGTGCGGCCGGCCCCCCCTGCACCCCCCATGCTACGCCATGGAACTGATAGCCATCAAGCAAGGGCTAAGAACAACATATCCATACATGTTTACACATTTATTTATTTAAGCTATTTTAATGTAGGTGTAAGCTAGAAGTTTTCAGATGACAACCTCCTAATTTTAGGAGGGTCTGGGGGTGAAAAAGGGGGTGTGAAATTTCCATACACCTTTCACATCTTCAGGCGGTGGTGGAGAATGTTATGGAACGGGGGAGTTAACAGTGTTCCTCTAGACCAGGCATAGGCAAACACCAGATGTTTGGGCACTACAACTCCCATGATCCCTAGCTAACAGGACCAGTGGTCAGGGATGATGGGAACTGTAGTCCCAAAACATCTGGAGGGCCGAGTTTGCCTATGCTTGCTTCATAGGGCAGCTGCCATTTTGTTTTGCTCACAGTTCTCCATAACGATGCTATGTCGCAACACAGCATTTTTCTGAATGGCTTTCTGAGAAACTCAGAGAGTGGCTTGGATTTATTAAAATTACCAGAGCCGAGCCAAAATTATTCATAAGACACTTTATCTTTTTGAGATACTTATCCCTCGGCCTGAAAGTAGAGATGAGCGAAGCACCCCATAATTGAATTCGACTGGACTAAACTGTCTAGGGGTCCTTTACCTTTTACCTGTTTCTCATACGCTCCCTCTGCCAAAAAAAAAAAAAAAAAGGCAGGGGGAGAATACCACTTTCTGAATAATCTCCACCATTTAAAGATATATATCCACAGACATCCCACCCTGGAATGATGCAAAGTCGATGGTATTGTGTGCAAGTGCCACTGACGATTGTATGCCCCAGCCCTGAGAAACTTTGCAGAATTTCTCCCCCCCCCACCTTGGAAAATTCAGTTAAATGGTAGCCTCCACCACAAAAAAAACTATTATCAAAAGTATTTTACTTCAACTCCCCCTTGCCCCCCCTCCAGTGAGTCTGATATTGTTCTACATAGCACCTCAGCTCCCTGGATCTATCCAAAGTCATTTTATTAGTATTTCAATATATTCCTCCCTATCTCAATAGTAGTGAAAAGATATTGCCTAGATAAGAGGAAAACATATGGGTTAGAGCAGAAAGCTGAGGTGAATGTACTTACTGGGTTTCTATGGGTTTAAACAGCACACAGAGCCAATGCCTCTGCCTTTTTCTGCTACACTTGTATGAAGATGATGCCCCTGAATGCCTAGTATATTTACAAAAGAGCACTACAAGTTATTGCTTAGCCATCTCCAACTATATCATCTCCTAAACTGGTTAAAATATGCTATATATCACAGTTAGCAACATCAGCCATCACCATGACGTTTTAGTATGTGGTTGTTTTGCAATCTTGTTCATGTTCATAATAACCCCAATGACATATTGTTTGCTGGATCAGACCAAAGGTCCTTTCATTAGGCATCCTGAGCTGGATCCGTTCCTGTCCATCTCTTCATGGAAAGCTCTTTAATCTAGCAGAAACATTCATGAATGGAGAAGATGCCATTTTTGCATGTCATCATTTTCACTTGCGGTCCCCAGCCTCTTCCAGAGGGTTCCCCAACTGACGGCAGCAGACTGGGAGAGGCTCAGGGAAGGGAACTCAGGGGAAATTCTTTCCCCCACTTCTGCTGGATCAAAGGCCTTTCATGAATGGAAGGACATAGGAGCATCAGGAAATCTTGGCTGGATCAAGCCAAAAGCCCATCTACTCCAACATTTTCTCACAGTAGCCAACCAGATTCCTATGGGAAGCCTGCAAACAACACTGTTCTCATCACCTGTGATTTCAAGATACTGTTATTCTGAAGCCTATTGGTAGAAAATAGCCGTCATGACATCTTGCGGGAACTAACTCCAGAGTTTCGTTATATGTTGTGGGAATAAGTACTTTCTTTTGTCTGCACTGAATTTTTTAACATTCAGTTTCATAGGATGGCCCCAAGTCCCAGCATTATGAGGTTTTCTTCCTATCCATGTGTTTTGGGATACATCTCCAACATTTGCCAGCCAAGTGTCTCTAGGAAGTTTATAAGTTCTGCACAAAGATGATCCAATTAGAGATGATGGTCAACAGCCATCAGTGTACCTAATCTCTATTATTAAAAATAATAATTATTAAAAAAAATGCTTTTCCATGTTTTCCCAATCAAGGAAAAAGTACCGTATTTTTCGCTCTATAGGACGCACTTTTTCCCTTCTAAAAAGTAAGGGAAAATGTGTGTGTGTCTTATGGAGCGAATGCAGGCTGCGCAGCTAAGTCCAAAGCCCGAACAGGGAGACGGAGCGTTGCGCAGCGCTCCGTCCTGCTGTTCTAGCTTGGGGATGGCTGCGCAAAGCCTCCACAGGGCAGCGGGGTGCCTTCACCCCGCTGCCCTGCGGAGGCTTCACAGGCTGTCCCCGAAGCCAGAACAGTAAGAGGCTATCCCAGAAGCCAGATCCCTCTTGCTGTTCTGGCTTCTGGGGTTCAGAATTTTCTTCTTCTTGTTTCCGCCCCCTCAAACTATCATCCGGTGCGTCCTATAGAGCGAAAAATACAGTAAATTATTGCTCTTCTCCCTAACATGCTGGTTTTCTAAGTGCAGGGAGACTTGTTTGCTTTAAGGCATTCAGTGATACAGCCCCTCCACTTGCCCTCCTAGTCTCAGTATCTCTCATGACACCCCCTCAACAGTCATGTAATTTGTATTTATTTACATTGTAAAATGTAATTATTCTGATTGTGAAGCAGTGGAGAGTGCTCCTTTAGGAAAACTGGGGCAGTGCCCCACCAACCTGTCTTCCCTCCATCAGTTCCCACCTGCCTACTTCCAACCAGACAATGGAGAAGAGCTGCATGTCTCTTTCTTCCTCCTTAGTCTCAGTGTTGCCTCTGTAGAACTCAGCAGAGAGGAGGAGAACAAAACTTGAATTATTGACTCTGATGATAGTTTGTTCAGACTTACCTGCTCCATGGCCACTAGCGCCACTGGTTCTACACTTTTGCCCATCACCATCTTGGGCCACATAGAATCATAGAATCAAAGAGTCAGAAGGAACCCCAAGGATCATCTCTTTCAAGCCCCTACAATGCAGGAATATGCAGCTGTCCCTTATGGGGATCGAACCTGTGAACTTGGTGTTATCAGCACCACACTCTAACCAATCTATCCACATCTAGCCTAAGTTTGTTGTGTTTAGGCCCCATTCACAGCAGTATGAAAAGTTAGTCATGGCTTAATTCCGAAGGCAATTCCTGAGTCTGGATTCTACCTGCAATGCATTTCTTAATTCCTACTGTTGCACTGCATGAACTGATGCTTCCTACCCCTGTTCCTCCCATTTCTCAGATGAGGGAATAAGACTGAGAAAGATGATTTGCTCAAGGCCACCTAAGTGCCACTTCACCTGCTGCATGTCTACAGGGACTCATATCTAGGAACCACTTCACATCCCACCAATGTAAAGTGGTTCATATTTAAGAGCCACTTCATATGCTGCAACAGAGAAGAAAAGGTGGGCAAAAAAAACCAGGGCTGGCTCACTCATTTCATTTGACACTCAGTGTGAGTCACACACATTTCACCCCTAGTGTATTAATAATTTTGGGTTGTTATTTTTTTCACCATTGAAGAGCTGCTTTAACTATTAGATTGATGAATGTCTTCTCTCCAAATAGAATCCCTTTCTGATTTCCAACCACTTTTTGGAAGCTTGAAACTAGAACACCTACATTTTAACTTGGAAACCTCCTTCTTAGGAGATATCCATAACTAAGGCATCTTTGGTTGGCAACGCCACAAAATAAATACTTTTACTACCCTTGCTTTGTTTCTTTTAAATCACAAGGTTCTGGTTTGCATTGTGTCCCCTGGTGGTAGAGAACTAGCTTCTAATAGTGTTTAGTTTTGTATCATTTAAACAACAACAGCAACAACTCCTGGAAAGGCATTCTGTCAGGAATGCCATGAATGGATGAAGATAACATCCTTGATCCTTTGCATTTCAGATCCTCTGTCAGGGCTGGGGAACCTTACTCTCTTTTAGGCAGCTGTGGCAACCTCCCTCAATAAAAAGCAACACGGCCAGATGTGGATGCTCCCTATCAGTAACACTTAAGAAGTCTGATAACTGTTTGTGGTAGCATTTTCCAATATCCACCAGGAAGGATTTGCAAGCAGTTTTCTAAGCTTTAGAAAGGGGTGGGCAGAGCAGAATGGGGGGTGGCAGTTTAAAATCTAAGCCAGGCTGGTTGTATTTATGTGTAAATAAACCATATATCATAAAGACACGACAGTCCCTGCTGTGCCTCATTTCCAAAGAAAACGTAGACCCTGGGTAAGGGCCTGGGTCCTTGGAATCTCACACCAGGGTTGGGATGGCATTCAACACTGGTGTCAGAAGTGGGATTTGTGTTTTCTGGATGAAAGGCCTGTGAGCAAGGTGTGCCTAAGCCAAAAATGGAAGGAGGAACAGCAGCATTCCTGGCGCAGTTCAGGGTGATGCTACAGCAACAAAGCCAGCAGCTTGAGAGAATGGAACAGCGACAAAGCCAATTGTTTGACAAGATGCTCCAGCAACAAAGCCAGAGGTCCGATGGACCATGCCAGCTGCTGACAGAGTGGATGAGAATCCTCCATGAAGAGAAAAGTGAGACTCCACAGGAGATGAGAGCCCTGCCTTATGAGGTGCTACAAGGGTCTGGAAGTGACCCAGGAGTGGCTGAGAAGCAAAATGGTTCAGACTGCCATGAGATGCAGCCTGTAGCTGCAGGTGAGGGGGGAGGCATGCTGGTAGGAGCTGAAGGGATGTTAATCAATTTCTCTACTCCCTGGATGCCTACTGTGGAAAAGAATGAATTTGAGGTGCCTAAGAGTGTGCAAGAATTGCAGCTGATTGATTTCTGCACTCCCAGTGTGCAAACAGTGGAAGAAGGAAGTGCTATGGGGAAGGGCACACTGGTGGTGTTTATCTGCATGCCTGAGGAAGATACAGTGTTTTCCTGTGTAGAGGAGGACGATAAGGAACAGCTTGAGGCTTGTGTGTGTGCTCTGGAGAAGCTTGAAGGGCAGTTGGTGAACTGGGTGAGATAAAAACTGACAGCGATTTTGCTCATTGGGTGAGCTAATGTGGTCTTGTGGGGTGGGGACCCATCCCTGCACTGGGTGCAACAGGCAACAGAAACCAGGGTCACCCAAGGTCCTGTGGGTTTGGGGGGCAAGAGCCGCTGAGAGGGCCACCTGCCTTTGTTTGGCTCCATGAAGTGCATTGAAGTTGGGAGCAAGCAGAGAGGGAATTTTGTGGTCACCAGCCTGGGGGGAATGGACCAACTGGTTCTTAAGAAGGTTGGGAAGACTTTGATTTGCAGTTTGGGTTGGGGGGTGAAGTGGACTGTGCTAAGAGGAATAAAGATGAAGGATCACCAGTGTGCGAGTGAGGAGGCAGATTTGACTAGTAGAAGCAGCAGTTAACAAGCCTCAGGAAGGTTATTCTTCCTTGGTTATCATTTATCAATTATCATCCTGAACTGCATGCAGAGGACTAACTAATACCGCGGTCACTTCAGACACCACTCATTTTGTTGTATGGTTACAGTATGTAGAGAAAGTGGAGCTGGTGTGTGTGTTTTTCTCTTTTTTCAAGCTTCTCCATTTTATCTTTTTGGATCTAAATGGTCCTCCCTGTAAAACTGCAGTCACCTCATTGCTATCAGTGGAGGGAAACACAAGTTCCAATATTACGTCTGCATTTTTCACATTGAAAGGCCAGTATCGTGTGTGTGTGTGTGTGTGTGAGAGAGAGAGAGAGAAAGAGAGAGAGAGAGAAGTTGAAGGGTCAACAACAACTCCCCCACCCCCAAGTCATTCCTCTAATAAAAAGGATGTGTGTGGTTTTTTAAAGCTAGAAAATCCAATCATAGATTTATTTTTTGTCTCGTGTGACCTCTTGTGCCATTTGTGGACCATGGATCTCCCCCGTCAGTATACATATCAGAAGAGCAAAAACTGTCCTTGCTGCTGTTTGGACTTCTAACATCTTCTGGCACATGTCTCTAATCTCCGATGCTTCTTGCATCCCCATGCTATGATTGCATTCATGTGGCGACTCTGACATCCTGCGTGTAAACATTCATGCTTTTAAAAACACTTTTTGAATTTGAAATGTCTAGTGGAAGATACTGAACGCAGCATGAAATTTGTGTACATGGGGGTTTGGAATATTATGGCATTTACTTACAATTACACACACACAACACGCCAGTGAGACTTTCCTCCTTTAAATCACTTTTTCAGCAATCAGTCATATTCCTACTTTGCATTCTTTGCTTGCACGGCAATTGTGTTTAAGGTTATCATTTATACTGAAGATCATCCTTGAGTTAGTTAATTGAGCCTCCAGCTCTATAAAAATAATTCAGACCTGGCAATTGCTAATACATTTAAAGCCTTTCAATTTGTTTCATTCTTGGAACAATTCAGCGGGCGAAAAAGTCACATGTCTTTATTTCTAATGTTATTAAAAAGAGAAAGAGAGTGAGAGAGAGACTGACACTAGGCAGTGCAACACTGTGCAATTGCACTAATGTATGGCCTTTTATGTTTCAAAGGAGAAAATGAGAGTGCTGGCATTAAAGCACTGCACGAGCAATGTCAATTTGAAAAGCAGGACAAGATTTACTAAACATGCCTATAACAGTGTAACACAGCCCGTCTTACAAGCCACAGTGGGAACACTCACACTATGTTCTTGCATTGCCTGATTTCTCCAAGGATATTAATACCAGCCATTTTATTTGTGTTCGCTGGAATTGTGGGGGGCAGGGGGAAGATAGTAAATGCTGTTACAGCAGCCTGGTCGCCAGAGCATCTGCAAATATATCAAGCCAGAGGGAAATGTGATATCCAGGAAGGGTTTATTTGAAGACTATGCTTGCTGCCAGATTGAGAAAGACCCAAAGTGTAAGGTTGCTGCACCACATTCAGACCTGCGGAATCCATCACTTTGCTAGGTCAATTATCCTTTCTGTACCACTCATCTCTGTGGCTTCAGATCAGCCGTGGGGAATTAGATCCAGCCAGATTATTATTTCTTTGGTCCACCACTGTGAGTCAAGTTTAACAGGTGGACAATTCTCCCCACCTGCCAGTCTCTTGACATTACAGTGATGCCAGGTGATCCATGTTGCCCACATGGTTTGGAATCAGCTGATTATCGGCAGAGCTTAAAGGTGGTTTTTTAAATTTTTACTTATTAAAATATTTTATTAACATATAGAACACATACATTTACATTTACACAGTACATATACACAACACAATACCTTATTTTCATAACATAAAGCATACCTACATTACTCTATATTATACCTACCTATACTATACATACCAACACACCTACACACCTAAACCACACGGACACCCACCAAGTGACTTGACTTCCATCCGTTCTTGTTACGCTACTTTATTTTTCCAATTGGCTTAAACACATTTCGTTATTTCTTTAATCTCTTCTTCTATCTTAACTTTACTCTCCTTTCACTCTAATCATTTTCTGGATTCACTCAATATCTGTCAAAAGTTCTACTTTTTCCACATAGCTTTTGATGTATTCTTTAAAGATAGCCCACTCCTTATTCACTTTTTGTACCATATCTCCTGTTATCCTCCCTGTTAATTTGGCAATATGAAAGTATGCCATCATTTAGATAGCCAGTCTGTTTTAGTAGGACGCTGCTGCTTTTCCAATTTTTGGCAATTAATAACCTTGCTGCCGTAGTCGCATACATAAATATTGGTCTGACCTTTTTTTTTATTTCCTCTGACATGATACCTAGCAGAAAGGATTCTGGGTTTTTCCCAAATGAAAATCTAAACATCTTTTTCAACTTGTAAATATTTTCCCAGAATCCCACTATCTCTTTGTGCTCCCACCACATGTGTAGAAATGTTCCTGCCCCGTTGTTGCATCTCCAACAAACATTACTACAGTTTTTATACATTTTTGTCAGTCTAACTACAGATGGGGTCAGCTACCATCTGTATTGCATTTTCATTACATTCTTTCTTAAATTGTAGCATGCTATAAATTTAATATCACTTTTCCACAGCTATCGGCAGAGTTTAAAGGTAGTGAACAGTTGCTGGGACACAGGCTGCTGTTTATGGCAACTGAGCCTCAGCCTTACCAAGTGAAATGCTCAAGAGTTTTTTGGTTTTTTTAAAGTTTTCCCCAAAATCTCAAAGCCACACTTCTTTGTGTTCCACACTACCTCTCATAATCAAATCCAATGTAGAGAAAGTCCTGAATACCTTTCTGTCAGTCTCCCATTCTCTGGCTCTCTGCGCCTCTCAGCCAAGCTCTAGTCTGTTTATAGGGCTGCTATAGACAGCTCATCCTAGCTCTGATCTGCGCTGCTCCCAGATATTGGGGAGATGGGGACTGATGATTGTCGTTTGCCAATGGAACTGAACTTACCCACAGTCTGCAAATGTCCCTTCCCCTGCTTCTGCACATTAGGATAATTCCTGAAAGATCATTTCGCTCCTTAACCACAGTCTTATCAGGAGATCCTTTCCATACAAGGTACCAATCAGGCCTTTGGTGTCATGCCCCCTACCTTTTGGAATTCCATCCCATTAAATATTAGACAGGTACCATCTCGATTGTCTTTTTGGCACCTACTAAAGGGGGTGGTGCTGTGGGTAAAACCTCAGCGCCTAGGGCTTGCCGATCGCATGGTTGGCGGTTCAAATCCCCACGGCGGGGTGAGCTCCCGTCTTTTGGTCCCAGCTCCTGCCCACCTAGCAGTTCGAAAGCACCCTTAAGTGCAAGTAGATAAATAGGCACCGCTGTATAGTGGGAAGGTAAACGGCGTTTCCGTGTGCTGTGCTGGTGCTGGCTCGCCAGAGCAGCTTCATCATGCTGGCCACGTGACCCGGAAGTGTCTCCGGACAGCGCTGGCCCCCGGCCTCTTAAGTGAGATGAGCGCACAACCCTAGAGTCTGGCAAGACTGGCCCGTACGGGCAGGGGTACCTTTACCTTTTTAAAGATCTTCCTCTCCCAACAAGTCTTTTAAGCAGAGGTTTTCCCCAGTCTGCATCTGTAGTGGAATTCTTTTTAGATGTTTGTAGATATTTTAATTGTTTTCTCACTTCTGTATTTGCCACCCTGGACTCCTTTGGGAGGAAGGGCAGGATATTAATTTAAGTAATCATCTTTATCCCAGCCAACATGTGTGAAATTCTCATATGCAACCCTGAGGTTGTGACAGCCCAATGCATCACTCACAGAAATGATTTGATGTGGAAACCCCTTCCCTTGGGGAAAAAAGTAATTTGTAAGTATTTTAAAAGGCTTCTTCTGTTATTATTTGATTATTTGTTTGTATATCTTTCCAGACCACAGGGAAACATCTGGTGGTTTCTGTTCCTGCGTGGAGGGCAGCAGCACAGCATGGTAACAGAACTCGGTATCTCTGAGTTGTGTAGACAACTTGTCAAGGCTCATTCTTTTCAGAGGCTGGAGCATAATGTGAGATGAGGATGCATCCCGACATCACCTAGGCAACTTTAGGTTGCAAATCCTTCTGCAAAATGGGTATACTTTCCCCTGCTTCCAAACACCCCACCCCCCTGAAAGCACTGATGAAATGAACATACAAGCTACCAGGCTTGCAAAGAATTTTGCAGAGTCCTAAGAACCATTTCAACTTAGCCTAATCAACTTTTGGTACAGGAAGAGGAGCTTGACCTGGTTGAACCCACCTTCTATGTCCACACACAGACCAATGAGATGCATAGATTTCTGAAGCATATGGATACTGCATTGAAGCAAAACACCATTAAACAATGAGGCACGACCTGTGAGTCCCAGTTCTCAAGAAGGTAGCTATTGCTTTAGAGGGTTTCATGTAAAAGTCTCATTGTCTGAAATGCAAAAGAAATACCACAAATCAAAAGGGATCCCCAGCACATACAACAATCCCAGTCCCTTGGTCCATAACTTAAATATAAGAGGATTTGTATTTGTGTTCATGCTGACCCTACTTTTAAGAAGTGAAAACATTAAGATGCTTTCTGCTTATTGTCGTGCTGTGCAAAGATCCAAACTGAATCTTTGGTTCTTCAGTTCTGCTTGCAAAACCTACAATAAAGTGGCCTCTGACAAGGGGCTTCTTCTTCCTCGAAGTGTTGGAGTCTTTAAGGAAATTCTGTGGTTATTCTAGCTCAACTTTCCAAAGAATTATGCCTTCCATGAGAGGTTTCTAAGCAGAGGTTGGATGATCATCTGTCAGAGATCCTTTAGCTGTGATTCCTGCATTGCAGGCAGTTGGATTGGTGACCATTTGGGTTTCCTTCCAACTCTATAATTCTTTGTTTTGGACTCCAATGCCCATCATTCTACAGTCAGGAAAAAACTTATTCAGGGCACCAGGTTGGGGAAAGCTTGGGCTTTGCAAACCTCAAGGCATTTATTCACAGAAGGCAAGGCAACTCTTGCTTCAATCAGGTTTGCAAGAAGAATGAGAAATCCACTTTGGCCAAAGCTCATTGCAGAAGAGTCGAGACCTTGCCTTGAGTTTTGCAGAAGTCATTTTGTTCATTTTAATTAACTTGCTGTGGAGCTCAGGTCTTGGCAAGGCTTTGATCTTGCAAGTTCAACTTTTGTGAAGCCTATCTCAAATGCCAATCACATTGCTTCTCTGCGGAAAAAAATATGAAACCTTAAATGAGAACTGAAAACTGAAAAAGCAAATTTGAGGTCATAGATTCAATGCAGTGTTCCCAAAACTTTAGATACCTGGGGCTCATCTCTCTCTTTTCGTCTGGATTAAAATTGGAGACACGCTTCATTCTACACTCATAAGAATATAAGAAACATCCTGCTGTATCAGACCAAAGGCTTAGCTAGTCCAGTCTTCTGTTCTCACAAAGGCTAGTCAGGTGCCTCTGGGAAGCCCAGAAGCAGGACATGAGCAAAATATGAGACTTTCCAGCTTGTGATTCTCAGCAGCTGGTCTTCAGAGGCATACAGCCTCTGATACTGGAGGGAGAACATAGTCATTAGAATTAATAAATAACCACTGATTGCTTTATCCTCCATGAACTTGTCTTACCCCATTTTAGAGGCATCCATGTTGGTGGCCATCATAGCATCTTCTGGAAGCTGAATTCCATTTTTCAACTCCATTCTGTGTTAAGGACTCCTCCTTAATTTCCTACCTGCCATTGGATGACCTCAGATCCTACTATTGTGAGAGAAGAAAAAAATCTCTCCTCACATGATGAATAAATTTATGCATCACGATAATGTTTCCCGTTACTCATCGTTCTTTTCAAAAGCAAACACACACATTTTTATTTTATTTAGCAAGTTTTATATGCCACTTAATTAAAAAAATCGCTCTAAGCAGTTTTCATAATGATATTAAGTATTCATTAAAATAACAATAAAAACAACGTTTAAAAACAGGAAACAATAAGTCCGCTCACCTTTCCGTGTGGTGGCATTGTGGGATGGCAGAGGCTCCACTAAGACCCCAACGAGGGAATTGTGGCATCAGTGCCCCTATCAGGAGCCAGATCTTGGCCTACATCCCAGATTGGCAAAGAGAGTTGCTCCAACCCGTCAATCACCTTGGCTGCTTTTCCAACCCTATAATGGTGTCATCTGCACTATACATTTAAAGCTGTCTCATAGCACTTCCTCAAAAGTATCTTGGAAGCTGTAGTTTGTTAAGAGTGTTGAGAGTTGTTAGATGACCCCCAATCCCCTAACAGACCTATAATTCCCAGAGTGGTTTAACCATTAATTCCTCCAGGAAGCTCTGGAAATTGTAGCTCTTAGCGGGAGGGGGAATCGTGTTCAGTTTAAAACTCTCAGCAGTCTTAACAAGCAATGACCCCAACATCCCACATCCAACTTTCTAATAGCACCTGTGAGTAAACAAACTCGCAGAAAGAGGAGTCTGCTTGGGACTACAGGAGAGGCACTTACTGCAAAACCCTCCTAACTTGCCAAAAGCCTTTATGAGCAACAAAGCATGCAGTAGAAATCTTTTTTAATTGAGCAAGTCATCACCTTACAGCAAAAGCCTAACCATGTCTACTTAGATCTAAGAGTTATCAAATACAGTGGGGCTAACTTCCATCTAAGTGGGGTTTGGACTGCAACTTTAGCAAGGGAGCAAAAGCTGGAATGCAGACAAAGATCTACCAGCTCCTCCCAACTTTCTGACTGCAATCCCATGAGTGGGACACTAAGAGAGTAGAAACCTACTGCAGCCAACTTTCTAAAAGCCTTTGGGAACAACCACACTTGCAGAAAAGGCAGACAAGTAGTCCACTGGACTGCCACCACCACTGCCAAACACATAGAGAGTGGGCACATCAGGGAAACAGAAAATACCGTACTTTTCCGAGTATAAGACGAGGTTTTAATAAGAAAAAATTATGTTAAAAATTTGGGGTTGTCTTATACATGGATAGTGCATAGGGTGGAGGTGTGAGTGGTTGGTTCTGCGAGCCAGAGATTGTCAGTGGCTGTTGATAGGCTGTCGCTGCAGCAATAGGGCGTGCGATTGGAGCCTTTTGCTGGAGCGGGCACAGATGATAGGTTGCTTTTGCGTTGCGTGCGATTGGCAGTATAGGTCTGGTGGGTAAGCGGTTTTTGGCAAAAAAAAACCCCAAACCTCAACAACTCTGGACAATCTCCCCCCATTTTATTTGTAGTCCCCCAAAATAGGGGGTGTCTTATACACGGAAAATACAGTAATTTATATTCACCAGCTTCTCACCTCCCAATAGTCCATCAAGTGCAGGGGCACAGTCCACTGTCCACCAGTGGTGCAGCATGCTTTAACCATGCCGGGGGGGAGCACACACGTGCTGGGGGGGGGCAGGGGGTGGAGAGCAAAAGGAGTCTACTGTGCACCAGCCCAGCCCTCACTGCCAGAGCAACACCAGCCCTGAGTCCCTTTGCGAGGCTGGAATGAGCCAAGCCTCTGATCAGAACCCAGCCTCGCCAAGTGGCTTGGGGAGGGTGGCGTGAGAAGGATGTGAACCGCACCCCCTCCTAGAAAATGAGCCATTGGCAATTTCCCCAACAACTCCCCTCCCATGCGTTACCGCTGCTGTCCACTGTTTTGTCTCCCAGTCCTATAGTATACCCCAGTGTATTAATAAAAATGCACAATTGGCCATAAATCAGCAACAGGGAGGAAAGGCGTCTACAAACTGCAGGAATAGAAGTTTTTGGATTATCTGCAGTCTGGATTCAGACCGTTCTTCCTAGGCTGGAAAAAAATAGTGAAGATGGCTTGTTTACTGGAAGCCAAATTACAGGATGAAGCGATGCAGCGACTTTTGGAAACTGTGGGATAACTGCGGCAAGATGGGAACCCTCAATAGTTGCAGGAATGAAGGATACAACACCACATATGGACAGGAAAACATCATGGGGGAAAACTGTCACATGCAGGAAAGAATGAGGATTACAGTTAGAGTTCTTCACTTGAAACTTTATAAATTACCTAAAATACCAACACGAATAGAAATCACAAGACTGTAGCTGTTATATAAGGGATTGCTATATCTGAATGGAATGGAATGGAAATTATTAAACACAGAAAAAATGTAGGAGAACGAAGCCATCAATTCTAGCATGCCAGTTTAATTAAATTGTATAATTTGACATTTGAATAATGGGGATTAATAATTGCATTAAATGGATAAAATTGGCATTGTTATAATGAGGCTGATATTGGAACAATATTGGAAAATCAATAAAAATATTTTTTTAAATAAAATAAAATAAATGCAAATAATTTAAAGAACAAAAGGCAAAAGAAAACAGATAAATGGCATAGAAACACCATCCATTATTTCTTCATGTGTGTTTAAAAAGACTAATAAAAATTTCAAACTGCTCAGTTTCTCCTGCTGGCCTACAAACAGCTTGAGAGGTGTGGCCTTGAAGAAAAGAGCTCTGAGCATGCTCACAGGTCAAACAATACCAATTAACCTCAAATACATTCACTGGATTGCAATAATGACAACAGGAGGCAGTGGGAAACTGTGCAGTCAGAACAAATATCCAGAAGACCAGTTAGAATTTTTTAAAAAGCAAAAAGCTGGTGTGTGTCCCCCCCCCCAATCTGGAGATGGAAGCATAGGGGTCCCTCCTCAGAGCAGCGCAAATCAGAGCTAGGATGAGCTGTCTACAGCAGCCCTATAAACATATGTTTTCCCACACATTTGCATGGTGGTAGTGCTCCTGCTGCAACCCACCTTGGGTCAGTCCTGCCCCACCAGTTGAAGACCAGTGGCTTATCCCATCAAAGTACCAGGAGAGATTAGGAGATTTATATTATCTTAGTCGGCTCTTCTCTTGCTGGCCATTTGTTGGACCCCAATGCACACCTGGTGCTTCTCTGGGTCTTTCCACACTCCTGTGAAGCTTCCTAGTAATGAAGCTGTCTGGCTGCCATGTGAGTGCTCCTCTGCCAGCTGTGGAGTTATTGCTAGGCCCAATGCCATTTCTGTTCCTGTGAGGAATGGGTAGGGGTTCAAGTGCTGTGTGTGGAGTCATGCAGTGCAGGCAGACAAGATGTCTTTGGGGCTGGATATCTTGGGCTGCTTGACCGTGACCATAGGCTCTTTGGGGTTCCCTGTGGCCCTGGAGGTCTCAAACCACTACTCTTCCTTCCATCAGGTTCCTCTGGAGCCATGGTCAAAGACTGAACTCTAGTAGGGCCCCAACTGCTCTGGTGAAGACGCCAATTCAAATGTCCCATGATATTACCAATGTAGCATCACTCCGAGGCATAGTGGGGAATTTAAATAGCTGTTCCCAGAGGCCCCTGTCATTTAGATTTTCCCACAATGCCCTGTAGTGATGTTATGACAGCATATTGTGAGGAATTTACAGGTGAAACTTGGAAAATTAGAATATCGAGGAAAAGTTCATTTATTTCAGTAATTCAACTTAAAAGGTGAAACTAATATATGAGATAGACTCATGACATGCAAAGCGAGATATGCCAAGCCTTTATTTGTTATAATTGTGATATTATGGGGTACAGCTGATAAAAACCCCAAATTAACAATATCAGAAAATTAGAATGTTAAATGAAATCAGCAAAACAAGGATCGCAAACAGAGCAATATTTGACCTCTGAGAAGTAGAAGCATGCATATGTACTCAGTACTTGGTTTGGGCCCCTTTTGTCTCAATTACTGCCTCTATGCAGCGTGGCATGAATTACTGAAATAAATTAACTTTTCCGTGATATTCTAATTTTCCGAGTTTCATCTGTAGATGCCTGTTCCTAGACCACAACTGGAGCTCACTATTCAAGTTCCCCACAATGTACTGCAGTGAAGCTATGACATGAGAAATGTAAAAAGTTGGCTCCTAGCCCCAACTATCTGGTGCAGAGACAGCCAAATGGCTAAATGGAGACCCAGGTGCAGAATCAACAGATGTGAGTGGAAAGGAAAGGTGGGATGATGCAAAGTGAAAAGGGAAGAGAGGGAAAGAGCAGGAAGCAATGCAATGGTGAGGGCAATGTATCCACCCCCCCTTTCCTCTCCCCTTGCTCATCACTTTCCTTTTCTCCACAATTCCTAGTTGCTTTCCACTTGTGTTTTATATCCATCTTTGATTACTTGAGTATAGCTCTTGTGTTTTCAGATAGAGCATGCTAAGTGTAACATGAAAATGTTCTTGCTACTAATTCTTATTCTTGTTTTACTTACTAAAAAAAATAATTCCTTTGTGCACCAACTCTACCCAACTGAAACAAAAGTCAGGTTCTTTGCATTCATCTAAATTTGCAAAAGCAATTTTGATTCCATAATTCCAGGCTTTATTTGTGTGGGATCTATGGTGCTTTCCTATGTGGAAAAATGGCTTTCCCCCTCCTCGATTAATAATTGGGTCACCACAAGTAGAAGAAAGTGACTAGGCTCAAGTCCCAGCCACAAGTGGCTTCCTAATCAGCATTTGGTGCTTACAAGAAGTGCCAGGCTGATTGCAGAGTCTGGAGTCTGCCACTTTCTGTTTGCCCATAAAGCAGGTCCAGCATGATCAGTGTGAATCGGTCTCCTGCTGTTCCTATTGATGAGCTTATTCCAGGCCTGGAGAGGCATCCATGTGGCTTGGCAGTATGTTCAAAATAGCATGGCTCCCCTCCTAAGATGTCCTATAAGGCAGCTTCTTTGTCCAAGCCAGAGTGCCATTTCCACCACTGACGTGTATATCTGCTTAGTAAGGAATGGAAGTGTAATGAGTATGGGTTGCTCGTGCGTAAGTTGCTGCCTCTCCTGGCTTTGTTGCCTTGTTAAACCTTTCAGTCTGGACAGCCCTTCAATTCATGGCTGCCTCAGTCGCTAGCAGAATCTGTCAGTGGGCGTTTCTTAAACCTTTTCCAACATAAAAGTTGTTTGACACCCAGTCCCCTCCTACATTCTCTGCGCGGAAGTCTTCTGCGCAGGGAGGGCGTGGGTAGCGGAGGACCCATGCTCTCCCCGCTGGTGTCCGGTGAAGAGTCTGGGAGCCCTCTGATTCTGGTGTCCGGTGAAGAGTCTGATTCCCCCATCTGCCCCCCTTTATTCCTGGTGTTGCGCTGATTTGCTTCCCCATCTGCTGAGCTGCCTCTCTCCCTGCTGGGCCCTTCTCCAGCATCATTTGAGAGCCTTCCCTCCGCCTCTAGCTCCGATGTCAGTTCCCTGACAGGAAGAAAATAGGTTGACAGCTAGTTAATAATATAAAGAATGGTGATGAATTTATGCCAGGCTGATTTTAGACTAGCAACCTATATACTGATGCCAGTGCCAGCTCCAGGTTTTGGATTACCTTTGGTGAGCAGGGCAACCTCCATAGCCCCTTCTCCCTCAATGTCTAGCTCCTTCCTGCCTTTCTCAACAGCGGTTGCTGTTTCTCTTCCTCAATGTTGGTACTGTCCATTGGCAGTGAGCCAATGAGTAAGTTGGCAGGTAAGTCTTCTTTTCCAGCACCAGGCAAGCAAAGCAAGCGGGTGGCGGGGGGAGTGGGCCTTAAAACCCTTTTCGGTGGGCTGATCCGTCTCTGCAAAGGTGGCTCTTCACATAGGATTGCCATACGTCACAAAAATTCCTGACATGTTCTGGTTTTCAAGGGGGATTCCTTTTTGAAATATGGCAACCCCATCTTCACAGGATATAGTGACACACATTTCTCACTTCCCTAAGCGTTGAACATTCCATGTGTAGTTGTTCTATACCCCCCGGGAGAAGAGGCACATTAAAACAGGGGTACTCCTTATTTCCCATGGGCCAACATTAGGTAAGGATGAAGGAGAAATTCAATTCAGCTCACTGTTAAAGGCAAACCACCTTTGCAAAACAAAATGTGAACCAAAAAACACAACCATTATTCAAAACTTGTACTTCTCTGAATTTTGCCATGAAGTTCTGTAGCAAAGTAATATGCACAAAGATGCATATGTAGAATAAAGTGATACATACAGAAATGCATTAAATTAGGAGAAGTTGCTTTGCAAAGATGTGTATGTTGGTCAAATCTAAACACAAAAGTGTTTCTCAGGAGAAATTCACACTGAACTGCTGGTGAATTTTCCTGAGGATTCTTTAAAAATGAAATTCACAAATTGCTGCAGAAACCTGGAGAACTGAATTTAAGATTGGGAAAATGAGAAATGCAGACAACTAAAATTGACAGATTTCTTCATTTCTACTTTGCAGGCTTTAGTCCTGGCCTGGATCTACATTGATCTTCTAAACGTTATAAAAGATAACTCTCTATAACTTTTAATGGCAGTTTCCCTTTGCTGAGGGACGTGGGTGGCACTGTGGGTAAAACCTCAGCGCCTAGGACCTGCCAATCGCATGGTCGGCGGTTCGAATCCCTGCGGCGGGATGCGCTCCCGTCGTTCGGTCCCAGCGCCTGCCAACCTAGCAGTTCGAAAGCACCCCCGGGTGCAAGTAGATAAATAGGGACCGCTTACCAGCGGGAAGGTAAACGGCGTTTCCGTGTGCTGCTCTGGTGCCGGTTCGCCAGAGCAGCTTTGTCACGCTGGCCATGTGACCCGGAAGTGTCTGCGGACAGCGCTGGCTCCCGGCCTATAGAGTGAGATGAGCGCACAACCCTAGAGTCTGGCAAGACTGGCCCGCATGGGCAGGGGTACCTTTACCTTTACCTTTCCCTTTGCTGGTGGCTCGCTGCTCTGCAGCGCCCTCTGGTGCCACATTTTAACAACGTATTTTAAATGTTATAAACGACGATTGTAGATCTGCCCCTCGACTCCTATGCCTTCCTATGGAGGAAAAGGGGTAGCTAAACTTAGCATGCAGCTATCCCCTCTTTGGCCCCACCCAGTGGGGATAAGAGTGGTGCCTGAGGATGGCCACAAGCAAGCAAGCGAGAGATCTGCCATAATGTGGGGGGTGCCAGGGTGTGTGGCTATAGGCACACAATTCTTGAGGGACACGAACTAGGCATCCCTCTACAGGCACCCTCAGGGCGCTCCTCTCTGCCCACCAAGGGCCATGTCAGCCAGCTAGGCTCCCCCCTGCACAGGTTGGCAGGTGGCTCAATGTGGCACTGCTTTACTCTGGTGAAAGTGGGGTTGCTCCAGCAGCAAGTGCTGAGCTGGGACACACACACACCCATGCATGTGCTCCCTGCCCGGCGCATGTGTGCCCACCTTGGGCACTGGCAACCAATGCTACGCCACTGTTCATAGTATCTCCACTGCCCCTCTCTGTGATTCAGTGATAGAAAATCTGTTTTGCATGCATTCAGTCTTCGACTTCTCCGTATATGGCAGCTAATGTCTCCTGTCTGAAATCCTGAACTGCCAGCTAGTGCAGACAATATTGAGCTAGATGGAGCAATGATCTGCCTCCATATAAGGCAGCTTCCTGTGTTTCTCTTTTCCACTTCCTTCACTCAGTCCTAGCTAGGTCCAAACCTCTGACCATATAGCTTGTTCTCCAAGGTCCATGGGTCTCTTCTCTTTTTTGTTTTTAATGATTTTTGAAAAGGGAAAAATAAAACAAGAAAGAGTACCAATAGATCTTCACATTTTTATTTTTATTTTAAAAAAGAGAAAAAATTAGAGGATACAAAATTTCTATGCAGATTTTGGAGAAAAGCTTCAAGAACAGCCAGGAATGAATACATCATCAGCAAAGAGCTAGAGACAGAGAGAGTTGCTGATGACTCATGTTAAGAAGAGTTGGGCAGCAATGCTTTTAATATTATTTAATTGCAGCTACACAGTTCTGCAGTATTCCCAGTGCAATGGAGAAGATATTAGATGCAACTGGAATGATGAGCAACTTGATTATTATCTTAGTTGAGATTAATAGTATATGGTGGCTTAACTCTTTATGAGCTGAGGAATGTTTATGCATGTAAATCTGCAAAACCAAATACCTTTGTGCCTAGCACATATATTTTTAATTTTCCCAGTGCTTTAATTTTGTTTTTAATCTGCTCTTATATTTTTAATACTGCTAAGCAAATGCACACCCCATTCACACAGAGATCACATTATTAATCTGTTTTCTATTATTGGTAACTGTATTGAAATTTGTTGTGCCTCTTATTTCATAATTGGAATCCGTTCTCCTTGAACTGAAAGGCAGGATACTGCTGGTGCAATATTATACATGTCTACTCAGAAATAAACTCAGTGGGATTTACTCCCAGGAAAGTGTGTATAAGACTGCAGCTTCAATGTCGTAAATAAAAAAGGGAAGAAACAATTATATCTACTAAACTCTTTATTAGGGTCTATTAAATGCCTCAATCAGGGTTGGAAATATGTGATTCTGCAAGATGCTTTGGGGAATTCTTATTAGATTTCTCAGACAACTAAGTATCAGTAAAGAAATTGGGCCATTTCCTAGATGTTGTGATTATCCATAAACAAAATTTACAATGTGATGGCAAGATTTTGTTTGTTTGTTTTGCTAAAGAATCAGAAAGAAAAAGTCAAAACCAACCCCAAATGCATTGTGCTCTATCTCACCCCACGTGTGCAAAGACACATCAATGGCTACCAGTCATGATGACTACAGTGGTACCTCGGGTTAAGAACTTAATTTGTTCTGGAGGTACGTTCTTCACCTGAAACTGTTCTTAACCTGAGGTACCACTTTAGCTAATGGGGCCTCCTGCTGCCGCCACCGCACCATTTCTGTTCTCATCCTGAAGCAAAGTTCTTAACCCAAGGTACTATTTCTGGGTTAGCAGAGTCTGTAACCTGAAGCGTCTGTAACCTGAGGTACCACTGTATGTAATACCTCCAAGTATCAGAGACTGCATGCTTCTGAATATGAGGGTGGGTACACTTTACCATAGGCATAGGCAAACTCGGCCCTCCAGATGTTTTGGGACTATAACTCCCATCATCCCTGACCACTGGTCCTGCTAGATAGGGATGATATGCCTGCTTTACCATTTACTTTGGCTCCAGCATGCTCCCACTACTAGTATTTGAAGCTGAGTATACGTAGCCTAAGCCACAATCCATAGATATCCTGAAGCTTCTTGAGAAATACTCCAGTTTGATGTGCTTTCCCTCAAACCAATTAAGAACACAAGAATTGTTGGCTGGATCAGGCCCATGGCCCATCTAGTCCAGCATCCTGTTCTCACAGTGGCCAACCTGATGCCTGTGGGAAACCAGCAAGCAGGATTCGCACACAAGAGAACTCTTCCTTCCTGAGGTTTCCAGCAACTGGTATTCAGAATGTGGACACCACGGTTAAGCTGAGGAGCGTACATTTCAGGCAGATGACAGCTTCAGTGAACTGGAGTTCAGCATCAAGAAAGAAATCAGGTAATGGGCATCAGGTGAAGATATCCCTGGCACTTCTCTGGTGTAAGCAGCAATACAAAAAAAGTGGGGTGGGAACCTGGCTATTGTTCAAGCTGATAATGTGCACACAGACTCAATCACTGGGAATCGCAAGCAAGACATGCTATTGTGCTCATGTCCCACTTGCAAGCTTTCCATAAACATCTGAATGGAAGCAGAATGCTGGACTACTAGAATGACCTTTGGTCTGATGCAGCAGGAATCTCCTTTGTTCTAACAGCCTAATAATAACAATGATAACAATAACAATAATAATTGTATCCCGCCCTCCCCGGCCAAGGCCGGGCTCAGAGCAGGTAACATCATAAAACAACACAATAAGCATATTATGTCCATTTCCCACCAACCGTTTATTCATTTCTCTTCCTGTTTGATAGTAAGACTGTCACACTGCTGTCATTTTGCACTGCTTTTTTTTTTTTTTTAATAAAAAAATGTCTTAGCACATGCCTCTTGCTGAGTCTGGTGCGCAGCCCTGGGGTCTCCAATGTGTCATGCCTTCCAACATGTCACAGATGAAGCAAGGTGTCTCTTGTCACTTAATTTCACAATATGGAGCCCTGGATCTCTGCCCTGTTTTCAACATTTATATGTCACCATTGCTGCAGTGAGAACTAAGGCAAGGAGGGCCTCCTAGCAGCATGTGACATTCGAGGGTGGCTCATGAGAAGGCCTCCTCTGTGGTAACCACCAGGCTGAGGAATGCCTTTCCCTCTGAGCCTGGTTTGGCACCATTGTTACATATATATTTTTCATCAAGCAAGTCAAGAGTCACTTCTTTGCCCAGATTGCTGTATTTTTACTTTTGTTACTGTTGTTGAAATGATTTTAACTGACATTTTAACGGATGCTTATGTTCAGCAGTGGTTTTATATTGCAGTCTTTTTTTAAAAAAAAATGTAGCATGCTTTAGGACCATTGGTGAAGGGTGGGCTATAAATATAAATCAACAAATTAACTAGGTCAGTTGGTAGAGCATGAGACTCTTAATCCCATGATTGTAGGTTCAAGTCTCACACTGGGCAAAGGATTGCTGCATTGTGAGGGGCTGGACTAGATGGCGCTTGTGGTCCCTTCCAACTCTACAATTCTACGATGCTAAGGTCATAGTCCTAGGCATGTGATGGAAAGGAAGCAATTGGCTCAGGTCACATTTGGAGTGTAGAGGGTTTTACCCTGTGCTTTCTCTGGGATATTTTTGGGGTGAGTATTAGTAGCCCATCCCTGCTCCTGGTGACATTGTCCCCGTCTTCTTCTTTATACATCCTGAGATAAACTACAAATGGGAACTAGTCTGTTTGTTTTAAAGCCATGCACAAAAAGTTCCCTTGAAAACCTGTCACCAAGTAGCCCAGGGAAACATAGTGTGCCTGAAAAGAGAGAGAGAGAGAGAGAGAGAGAGAGAATATATTCACATACTGCCATTCTCCAGCACAAACAACTCCCCTTGTGCCTAAATGACAGCAAGACAACATTTTTCTTCAGAGGCTGCTGACCCACAAAAGGCTTGCTTGAACTTCTGGTTTTTCCTGCGATGTAAACCTGTCACAATTCCGTGTGTGACACACAGTTTGTGGTGATGGGGGATGCTGATGAGGATCTGGATGGCTGTAAATAGCTCCAAAGCAGTAGCTTTGCTCATCCTTCAGAACTGCAGATGAAGGTCCCACTGCCTAACACACCCAATGTACCATATACAAGGTCAACCAGAAGCGCCATTGGAGTTGAATAGGAAAAGAGATATTTTAAAATACCAGTTTAAAGACTTAGTTTAATTGGCTGCAAAGGAAACTGTCCTGATGCATAGGAACATAGGAAGCTGCCTTTTACTTGTCCCATCTATCTCAGCTTTGTCCAAACAGACTGGCCCCTGCTCTCAACTCTTATTCATTCCTTTGCCACGTAAACACATAACTATTGATGCAAAATTACTATTGGAGCAAATTCTATGACTGTTATCCCTGGGCAATAAGGTGTGCACGTCTGGTCGAACTGATGGTGTAGTGACCAGTTGGATACTGTCAAAATAGTGGAAATGCATCAACAGAGGACACTGCTTTAAATAAAAAAAGATAGCATATGCTAATTAAAATGCATTGATGTAAATTTAGAAACGATCACTGTAATTTAAATGGAAATGCAGTGCATCTCACCATAGTGGTTCTGTAACCAGGTGATCTATCTGGCCTGCACAATCTGCTATCCAGGTGTAATTGTTGATGGATAATTTCATGTCCTCTCCCATCCCTTTTTATGATAATTTCTCCTCTGCTAAGTAAGGTACCTGCTGACCCCAATGTTATGATAGTCTATGTTCAGAGCCTAAGTATGGAAGGTAGCTTGATTAGGGCATGCACAGTGCCCTCAAAGCTATTTTTGAGAGCAGAGAAGTCAACACAATGTTTTCAGGGTCATTAACTCAGCTCCTGGCAATATTTTAGTCTATCTATTCTCCAACGTATGTATGCTTACATACAAAAACATTTAGAAAGATTAAAACCTAATGGATGAAATGTAGTGGTACCTCTAGTTACAAACTTAATTCGTTCCAGAGGTCCGTTCTTAACCTGAAGCTGTTCTTAACTAGAGGCGTGCTTTTGCTAATGGGGCCTCTTGCTGCCACTGCACCGCCGGCGCACGATTTCAGTTCTCATCCTGGGGCAAAGTTCTCAACTCGAGGTAACTCTACCAGGTTAGCGGAGTTTGTAACCTGAAGCGTTTCTAACCCGAGGCGTTTGTAACTCGAGGTACCACTGTATTTGCTTACTTGTCACATTTACATATTTGCTGTAGGGTGGCAGAGGGGGAAAGACAAAATGTGAATAGATGAAAGAACAAGTTGCTTGATACACTGTTCCCATTTCATAACAAATTTGTCTGGTTTTGCTTTGCAGCATTCTGACTCACTAAAAGCTTCCTTTGATTAAATAAGTGTTTGTCATGCATTCAGAAAACATGTGTATGCTTTGATGCCTATTGTCCCAAGGCAGACAACCCTAAATTTAGCACTGGGAAACTCATGTTGGCAAATGGCCTAGCTATGCAAACTAATATGCTAAGAATGTGGAGGCATGCATGCAGTGGAGTTGTGCAGAAGGCCAACACTTAGTTAAGTGATGATTTGTTTTCCAATCAGCTCAGACCACAGTTCACCAACCTCCCATTCTCTGTGGATCAGTGAATCCAAGTTTCTGTTTCTCTCTGTTTCTCATTTATTCATATTTCCACAGGGGGTGGGGGGAAGTATCCATTAAAAGTCATCGGGATTTTGCCTACTATATACACATTTTTTACAAACAATTTCCCCATGCAGACTGCATTTTCCATGCTATTTTCAGGAATACATGCATTCTTATGCACATTTTCCCCCCATTGTGTATGTTTTTGTTCACATTATTTGGTTGGAGAAGGGCATTGCAAAATCCAAAGGAGTGTGGATTTTGAAGGCCAGGTGTGTTTCAATACATATATTGTTTCTTAGAGTGCAAATTAGGTAAATTCTTGTTAAAACATGAACCAGACCAAATTTCTCCCTCATCACTACTCACACAAACAAAAAGCAGCTGAAAGTGAGTTGTGTTATGACATTGTGACGTGGAGCTCTTAGATCCAAAAGCAGAGACCAATAGCAGATATCTGCCCAGCCTTTGGTCATAAGAGAGGGCAGAGAATATTTTGAGGAGGTGTTTCCTTGTGCTGTACATTTCCTCAGTGAATATGGTTGGTCACTGATATTGGCCATAGATTCAGATGGGCAAAAGCTTTTTTTCTGTGGTGCCACGCAAGAGCAATACCTTGTGGGGTGCAAACAAATGAATCTGAACCACAGTCTATGCATTTAAATTTTGAAAGTAGCTGTTCAACACAATACTATTTATGGATACAGTGGTACCTCGGGTTAAGTACTTAATTCATTCTGGAGGTCTGTTCTTAACCTGAAACTGTTCTTAACCTGAAGCACCACTTTAGCTAATGGGGCTTCCTGCTGCCTCTGCGCCGCCGGAACACGATTTCGGTTCTCATCCTGAAGCAAAGTTCTTAACCCGTGGTGCTTTTTCTGGGTTAGCGGAGTCTGTAACCTGAAGCACATGTAACCTGAAGCGTATGTAACCTGAGGTACCACTGTATTCATATAGCATATCTTAGGGCAGGCTAAATTGCAGCAATGTGCTGCACATGGGTCTGTCTGCCAGAAGATTTTTCAGAAGTGTGAACTGGTTCAGAACACGCCAGGTAGGCTGTTAACTGGTAAGCATCAGTTCTGAACATATTTCACCACAGCTACTCAAACATCTTGTTTTCAGGCGCAATGCACAGTGCTGAACAGCTTGTGACCAGGATCCTTAAAGAACTAGCTTCTTCCATATGCCTTTGCCTCATCTTCAACAGGTCTGCTGAGAAGCAGTTGAATGGCCAACTGCTCTCTGCACTGCTTTTCCCATCACCCCAATGGAAGGTGAGCCAGACAGACCAGAAGCAAGGAGGCAGGAACACAGATCTGGAGAAGCCTTGATAGGCACACCGTCAGCCAATAAAGAAGTAGCAGTGTGTGCATCTAGGAGAGATTCTGAGATTCTGTTGGAATACAATTCGTTTTAATACTAAAGTTGTATGCTATTTTTGTATAGTCCTAGGATAGGCTTTACTGCTAGTTTTATGTGCCCTAAGATCATAAATGAAGAGTGGCATTAAAATAATAAAATAAAATACATTTTACCAGTGCTTCCCCCCCCCCCAGAAAAATAGGTGCCAGCACTCACATGAAGTTGTTATAGTAAGCAGAGGCGTAGTGTGGGGGGTGTGCTGGGGGTGCTGTTGCCCCAGGCACAGTTTGGGGAGGGGGCGCACGGAGACAGAGGGATGTGGTGGCTCCATCCACTGGCCCTGCACTGCTTTTGCAGGCAGCCTGGGACCTGCAGGGCACCCAAGCTGCTGTGTCCCTCTGGCTGAGAAGGACATACAGTGATACCTTGGGTTACAGACCCTTCAGGTTGCGTGTTTTCGGGTTACAGACACGCCAAAACCTGGAAGTACCGGAACGAGTTACTTCTGGGTTTCGGCGCTTGCGCATGCGCAAAAACACTAATTCGCAGTTTGCGCGTGCGCAGAAGCACCGAATCACAACCCACGCAAGTGCAGACACAGCGCTGCGGGTTCTGAACGTGCCTCCTGCACGGATCATGTTCACAACCTGAGCGTCCACTGTAGCCGCTTCAGTGGGGTGCCCTCTTCTGCACCCCAGACGCCAGTGGGGCACCTTCCACCACGGACAGCAAGTGCCACATTTTTTTAACAACATAAAAGCGGTTCTGATACTGTGCACCCTTGAGTACCCCCTGAAAAAAGCACTGCATTTTACCATGTTTTATCAACTTTTTTTTCCATTGCCCTCCCATTGTTCCGGTGGGAACATTTCCCTCATTTTATGGACGGAAAACTGAGGTTGAGTGATAATGACTTACCCAAGGCCATTAAAAATTTTAGTAGCTATGTGGGACTAGGCCCAAGATCCATCTGCTTTATCTGGTGTCCTAGTATTCTTTTGGATAAGACAGCACATGCTTTTAAGCAGACTGTAATTTAAGACCATGCTTCCATATTTCAATCTATTTTCAAGTTGGTCTCCTTTGCCTCAATTTCTCTGGCTACCTTCACTCTTGGATCTTTCCCCAGGGCTGAGAGAACATGATCTATAACCCAAGGTTTGCAAGTAAGTATCGAAGCAAAGGGCTATTTAATGGAAGACCTTGGGTTTTCCTGTTCTGGTGGTAAGCTATGAATAGATTAGCAATTGGAGTGAAACAACTTCAGTGACCTCATTAATACACTGTCAGCCTGAACAGAGGTGAATCTGTGGTTTTAAAGTATTGTGAATTCTTGAAAATGTATTCCTAGGAATATAAGAAACTGCCTTGTGCCAAGTCAGACCATGGATCCATTTATCTCAGGACTGTCCACAGTCATCAGCTCTCGAAGACTTCAGGCAATGGTTTCTCCTGGCCCTATGTGGAGATCCCAGGGATTGAACCTGAAACTCTCTGCATACAAAGCAGATATTCTACCACTGAGTTATTATATATACCACATTCAGGGTACATTTTAAATCTGCCTTCAGTCTTGTGTACATCTCCCTCCCTTTTAGTTTTCCTTACATTCAGAAGAGGATGTTAAATCAATGAAAAAGTAGGCCTCCCTCCCCTCTAAGAAAGTTGATCATCAAACTGAAAATTAGCCATGGCTGAAGTTTCATCTAGCAGCACGTTTGCTAGCTCAAAAGACTTTACAAATCATTAGAAAGAGAAAGCGCCACTTATCATTAACATTAGGATATAACCTTTAGAATCAAGAAAACACATTTACTCAAATAGAATTTCAGATCTAGTGGACTTAACAACTTGCCTGATATGAAAGCTGGCTTATAACATCAGATAATGACATTTGGAAAAGGGAATAAGTTGATTTCCATTATCCTTGGATGCAAGATTTCATAGGAACATTTCCAAGGCTTTGTGGACGCTTAAAAGAAAAGTCCTGCTAGAATGGAACATCACAAAATGTAAAATGGGAACAGTGTTACATTTCCTTGCATTCCAGGAACAATGGGAGGGCCAAACTTCCTACTCCTGAACTAAAGCATGCACACCTACACAAAACAGAGCACCCAATTTTGGCTGATTCCGCCCCCCTCACCGGTACCTAATGCCACATCCTGGGGTGTCCTTCAATCCTCAGGAGAAGTTTCTTCAAAACTGGATGCTCCCACCTGTGTGGAAATGTTTTCTGTTAGTGCATACTGTAAGTGTCATTGGATACAATCGCCCCCCCCCCCACCAAAAAAAACACACAAAACAGTTGAACCAAAGCATTATGGTTATTTATTTATTTTTCCCTTTCTGAATTTGGAATGGGGCACAGTGTGCTTCACTCTCCGCAACCCCCAATTACTGAGGTCTGTTGATAAAACACTGCCCCCCCCAACAGAAGCAACCTACACTATGCATTTAAAGCATTATGATACCACTTTAACACTTTTGTTAAGGGTGTTACAAGTTGTTAAGAGGCCCCTATTCCCTCAACAGAGCTACAATTCCCAGAGTTCAGTAGGAAGAGGGGTTTATTATTAAATAGCTCTGGGTTTCAACCGTCAGAACTTCACAATGAACACACCTCCCAACTCTGATTCTATGACCTATGATCTTACAAAGATTAGCAGTGAAGGCAGTGGCAATATGGACTTTGGCAGCAGTGGCTGTTGTACACAGTCCTTTGCCCTATCGACAGTGCCACACTGGGGGGATTGTCAGCGGTACCATCTGGCAGAGCAACTCCTCAGGATGGGGCTCCCTCAACCTTGCCCCATCCCATTCCCATTCTGGCAAGTGGCAATGCTGTGCTACTGGGAAGCCGTCACACCCTCCTGCACCTCCCACTGCTGCCCCCTTCACATTTAACTCCAATTCTAATGATGCTAGAATAGGGGCAGAATTAAACTCCACATAGCTTTTGAAGTTCTTCAAATCATCAGAACCTCTCAAGACTGTAAAGGCACTAGGGGATGCTTCTTATCATATTACGAAGCTTTCCCCCTCTCTGGTTCACATAAGGTAAAAAGTTTAGCTCTTTCCGAACACTGAAGGTGATGCTGTTTCCCCGACTGCCCGGGCCAAATGAATAACATCCGCCTTGAACTTCCTGCATTGGCTCTTACAGCATAATTTCGGGATGCAATTTGCACCCACTCTATCCAGTTCCAGGCATCATTGGCAGGAGAGAGGGGGAGAAACAGAGAGAGAGACTGGCAGACAGTTTCTGTTCCCCTATCGAAGACATTAGCAGAAGCCACTGGCTTGGTAGCAGGATCCAGCAGCTGTTGCTGGTTTTTTTTTTTCCCTTCTTTTTTTTTTTTTTTGCTTCGTTAACTTCTCTTCCCTAGTTACACAACCAACTGGAACAACACTGGAGAATTTCACAGCATAGAATACTTTCCCCTCCTGCCTTCAATGCATATCCCAATGCTGGTGACAGGTGTGAGCGCAGACCCAAGTTAAACACCATGAAGTCCTGGGAATGCTCATTTCCTTCCATGCGGAGCAATTAGAAACACCCGTGCAGAATTTATTTCTTCATATCAGTAGCTTCTTGCTCTTTGCCAGTAATTAACTGCCTAAGCACTATGTATCAGCTTCTCCTTTTGTGGTGAGAAATAAACCATTTACTTATTGCCTATTTCTCCTACCCTTTCTCTACAGCAATGGTGGCCTTCAGAATGTTGCTGGACTTCATTTCCCATCATCCTCAGCAAGTGTGGCCAATGCCTAGGGACAATGGGAGATTAAGTCTAACAGCATCTGGTGGGCCACATTTCCCCCGTTCCTAGTCTAAGAAGACCAAGGAAACAGTTCCTTCTCTCCTGGATATTCTCACCACAGTGTTGTGAGGTAAGAGTAGGTTAAGAGATAGCAACTGGAGCAAAGTCACCCAGTGAGCTCCATTGCTGATTTCTAGAACCTTATATCTCCCTTGTGCTAATCAAACTCTTACATTGCACTGGCAGTCTCAGATCTCTGTCCCAATGTGTTTATATCCCATAAGAACATAAGAAGAGCCTACTGGATCAGGCCAATGGTCCATCTAGTCCAGCATCCTGCTCTCACAGTGGCCAATTAGATGCCTCTAGGAAACCTGCAAGCAAGACACTAGCACAAGGTCACTCTCCCCTCCTGAGGTTCCCTCAACTAGCATTCAGAAGCATGTCACGGTCCAGGTTACAGGCAGTTGGACTCCCAGCTTGGTACGTCGGGACTGGGGTAGAGGTCGGAAAGCAGGAATCAGCAGTCCAGGGTCAGCAGTCCACGGGACAGGAAGCCAAGAGTCCACAAATCAGGAAACCAGGAGTCAGGTAGCCAAGAGTCTGAGGGTCAGGAAACCAGGAGTCAAGAAGCCAAGGGTCCAAGAGTCAGGAAACTGGGAGTCAGGAAGCCGAAGCACAGCCAGGTGGGTAGCTTGTTGCTGTGACAAAGAGCCAAGGCGAAATGCTGGTCTTATATACAGTACCCCTCATAGCCCTTGCCACCAGGTGCTATGAGTCTTCTGTCAAGCCTCACCTGTGCGGCCACGCCTTGCTCTTCCAGGCCAAACTCAGGAAGGCCCCAGCCCTGCGAGGCCCTACAAGTCACAGGTCCCGGCTCCTGCATGCACTCCTGACAAAGCATTACTGTCTCTGATCATCAATGTCCATCAATTAATGAGAAAATAAATTGCTTTTGAAAATTACCAAAGGGCAGAGAAAAAATTGTTGAAACTCTCATTGGTGGGGTAATTAATTTTCATGATTCTCTTGCTTCTTAGGGGTGGTCTTTTAGTGTCCTTTTTCCAGTGTTCAAATCATCTTTCCAGAGGCCTGCACTCTGTAGCCTCCCTGAGTGCCCACACTTCAATTAAAGGCCAGGAAAGGACTATTATGAGGCAACCTTTTCCCTGCATGAGCAGCCAGGGAGGCTGTAGAATGCTGTATAAATGTTTACAGTGGTACCTCGGGTTACATACGCTTCAGGTTACACACTCTGCTAACCCAGAAATAGTGCTTCAGGATAAGAACAGAAATCGGGCTCCGGCGGCGTGGCGGCAGCAGGAGGCCCCATTAGCTAAAGTGGTGCTTCAGGTTAAGAACAGACCTCCGGAATGAATTAAGTACTTAACCCGAGGTACCACTGTATTAGAAAGAAACCAGGCACACACACCCCAGCCCAGAGGCACCTTGCTTGCAAGAATAAGGTAAGGTCAAAATTCTGTACCCACTGAAATTATAAAGGGTCCTGAGAAAGTGTCAGAAAAAATGGAAGCCTCTTTCCAAGGGGGAGAAAACTTTCACAAAATTGGGGGACAGATTTTGGAACAGCGCTACTTTGCATACAGTTATTTACACCCACAAAATAGTCGAGGGTGTCTCTTTCCCTTGCAGATGGGAGCATGAAGTATGGATAGCTTACATGCATGCATACATACGTCCACGAGACTCACTTGAACCAATCTCTGGCTTTGCTTCCCAATGTGATTTCTACAAGGTATTTTTTTTAAAAAAGGTTCAGCCTTACTTGGAGGTGCTGGGGAATTGAATCAGGGAACTTCTGCCTGCAAGTCATGCAAAAGTGCTGTACCATTGAGCTACAGCAGGGGTGGAGGAAGGGGGGGTGGGGATGGTCCGCTCTGGGTGTCATTACTGAGGAGGGTGGCATTTGGCGCACTGCCCGCCTAGGACCCTCAAGCCTCCCCCGAGCCCTCGGGGAAGGGGCGGAGCTGCGCCACCTTGTGGGCAGCCTTTTCCCCTCCCCCCTTTGTTTTGACAGCTCAGGGGAGGCTTGGGAGTCCCGGGCAGACAGTGCGCCATTGCCCACCACTCATGGGCTGCTTTCGGGGGGGGCGGCTCCCTGAGTTGTCAAATGAAGAAGGAAGGGAGGAAGGCTGCTGGCAAAGCGGCACGGCACGGCTCACTCCCACTGCCCAAGAAGCAGCCCACCATGGACAGCTCGCTTCACCCCCCATGGGCTGCTCGCTCCGCCCCCATGGGCATCTCGCCCCCTGGGACGCTTGCCCCGCCCCCATGGCTGGTCCTCCCAATGCCTGCATACCCTCCAACATTTCTCCAATGGAAATAGGGACATCCCATTCCATAATGATAACCTTACTATTTATACCCCAGATATCTTACTGGTTTGCCCCAGCCACTCTGGGCAGCTTCCAACATACGTAAACAACATTAAACATTAAAAGAAAAACCTCCCTGTACAGGATTGCCTTCAGATGGCTTGGGGGTTGGATAACTCCATAGCCTCCAACATTTCTCCAATGAAAATAGGAACATCACTAAACAACAACAAAGGAAAAGCGGGACATTCCAGGATGAAATCAGAAACTGGAAAGTGTCCCTGGAAAATAGAGACACTTAGAGGGTCTGTGCCTGCTACGTTGATGGTACTATACACATGGATCAGGCTTTATTTAGTTACATAGCATAACTCTTTTTGTCAGCCCAGCAAAACCATAGGGAAGAATAGGGGACAGGGATAGAGTCCATTAGGTAAAAGCCACTGTGACAATAACGTACGTAAAAAAAGGCCTAAGAGAACCATTATCCGTATTGCTTCCTCTGCCTTCCCTCTCTCTCACTCTCTTGTTCTCATTACTGACATGAAAATGAAATCTTAAGTATCCTTTCATTCCTACTGCTTATTTTCTACCTGTGGACATAATTCTCTTTCTGTGACATCATAATCACAGCCAGTTGTTATGATACAGATGGGGGATTATCCATTTTTCTAAGACCCTTGGTTAACTTTTCCCTTTTAAGGAGTTATGGAATAAAGTCGTCTTAAAGATCAGAGGCTGTAAGTTGCAAATAGCAGAATATACATCCCTTGTATTTAGCAGGGGCATGCTGGGAGCCTTCCTACCAGTTTGATCCTACTAAGCCCTACCAACGTGGCAGGATTTATCTTGGTCCAGTGTTTGGGTGGTAAAGAGTCACTACAGGGAAAGACTGGAGAGTGCTAGGATTTTTCAGGGCAAGCTAAATTGCGGCATGGATCATGACATAGGACTGGGCCAGATTAAATAGTGAGAGGGCTTAGTCAATTGGAGGGGGACACTGCAGTGCCATATTTCGCAGTCCTGCTGGATCAGGTCAAGGGCCCATCTAATTCACTTAGGCACTTTCACATCATATCACCAATTCTCCAACACTGGAGTAACACTCCAGTCAGATGGGCCCCACTGGGGGATTTGGAAGTCACCATTTTAGTTTTCCATAAAGTCCCAGAACAATGGGATGGTATTTTTTATTCAGAGGAGATGCATTGAAATAAATGATCCTAAGTTACTCATGTTTATTAATTTCAATGGGTCTCTGAATATGACCAGCACTGAATACAACCCATAACCAGAATTTGAAACTGGTAAAAAAATGCTGTAGCCAGGGTGCTAGTGGGTACCCTGGGTATTTAATTACATTAATTCTGAAAACATTTAATTCAGAATTAAATTGATGTCTGGGCCTGATTTAAGGAGTCAATTATCATTAAGGCCCAATATTATCTAGCCTCTTAAACACCTGAAATAATGCATCATCTCACAGTAACCATCCAAGATCTTTTAAGATCTCCAGAAGAATCACTACTGGTGAACCCCACACCTAACGTGATTCATGAGATGCAGGCTGATGGACAGGTCCCTTTATTTTGGAATGACCTCTCCTGTGAGGTCTGATTCATCCACAACACTGATGTTGTGTTCTTAGGTGCAGAGAATCTGTCACCTGATGCCTTGTGAATGTGATAAAGAATGACACTGGACTAGGTTCTTGGGCCAAACAGGCCACAACTTTTATTGATTATACAGTAGATATAAGTGGACTTTGGCTCAGGCATTGGGTGGTTTTCCATTCAATGAGCCTGCCAGCTGACTGCTGCCAGTTGACTCTGGGTGAGGATTGCCCTATGAATTACATCAAAAAGCAGCAGCTCCTTATAATTGCCTCCATGGGGAATGTTATGGCCCCCCAACTGGGCTTGTGAATGAAAGCACCTCCCCTAGGATCCCTTTAACTGGCCACCCCATTTTCTGGAAGGGGGACACAATGCATTACAACCCCTATCTTTGTGTTAATTACCATGGATTACAGCCAATGCCCTAACCACTAAAATTTGACAATTGCTTTGGGGAGGCAAAAACTACCAGACCAGCCAATTTGTCTGGGGATAAAATTCCTAGCTGGCCCCAAATATGGTCTAGCAACTAAGAGCTCCATGTTGTATGGGTGGGGGCATGGGAGACCAAAAGCAGACTGTTGTGGTGGGTGAGGAGGCATGCCCTTTTTATCCCTGGGAAACAGACCCAAGTGGAAACCGCGAACTGTCTCCAGTTGGCTCTGTCCCTCCAATGACACCTCCTAGAGCCTGACTGTGATTGGCCAGTTTCACAGGTGGGCAACTTCAAAATTCCAGCAGCCAGAGGGGGAGATGAATGTCTCCCAGCAGCTTCCAGAAACAAGACTGGCACCAACAGTGAATTGTGCAGCACCACAACTGCTGCCCACAAGAAGACGAGTGGTATTTGTCTTATCAGCGAGTGAAGACACGCCTCTTTATCTACTAGTGACTTGATTTGTAACTGAAGTCTGTATTATGCTTTGCAGCGTTTAAATCTTATTGCTTCATTTGTCATTTTGACGGTGTAAACTTCTACCCTGGGACCTTTGGGTAAAAGATGGGTTATAAATATTTTAAATAAATGAATATAAATAAATGCAAAACAGAGCAGATTAAGCACTATTTACAAATCTATTTACAAATCATAAAATGCCTGAGCAAACGAGCATTAACCTGCTACTGATAACAAAATTGACACTTGCTGTAGTTGTAAGGGAAAGGCATTCCATCAGGCAGAAGGCTGTATTCTGAGTCACCACAGAGGAAACCTCTCTCAATGGTGGGAAGCGGAGAAAAGTCTCATCTGAACATCTCAAGTCAAAAGCAGGCAATGCAATTAAATGCAGTGGTTTTATTTGTGGCACAGACAGAGAAAATGAACTGGAATTGCAGGGAGGCCACAAAATGTGATGAAGGCATTTAGAACAGAAGCCTCAACTATGGAGAGAGATTAGCAGAACAAACACAAATATCAGACACTGAGGACATTGGCCCCCATCATTTCTATAGATGCCAGAGGATATTCTTTGCTATTCAAAAATGGTGGGTAATTGTCGGTGCAATTTCATCCCCCAGAACAGAGACTGATGGTAAACAACTAAACCACCAGTTGTGGAGAAGTATGTGTAGTTACAAAATAGGGTCTCTTTAGCATCCTACTGTGTGCTCTTGTTCGGCAGAAAAACAAGCAATCATTCAGTCCAAAAGATCTTCATGGAGGAACCCCGAGGCAGCAATTTAGCAGAAAGCAGCAACGTGATTTCTTTAATTTCTACATTCACCCTTCACTTCTTGCATTCAACCAAAACCCAGCACCAGGGTTAAAAAAATAAATAAAATTACAGTGGATGAATGTCCCGTGACCCTGAAAGGAAGAATTTTGTCATTGCCTCAAACCTTTTCCATTTTCCATTATAATCATGCCCTTCCACCTCACCACCCGGCACCCTCACGTAAAACACAAACAAGTCAGACGTAAGCATGGCTTGCAGGCTAAGATGATTACGGGATAATTTGTGTTTGCAGGACTAAACAAAATCAATCACTATTGTTCGGGGACAGACAGCATTAAGTGGCTGTGAAAGGGTATTTGCTTGGACTTCTGCAAAATAGGCTTCTCAGCATGCTTAAGGAGAAGGCTGGCTAATCCCTTGAGCTGGTGGCTGTAATTTTCAAATTTCCACATTCTGAACAATCAGCCTGTAGTGGCTGGTATTTCTGTTTGCTATTTCAGTTTTGGGAGGTTTTTGTTTTGCTTTTAATGGACATATCAGAGTGTGCTGCAGGGAATGTGAACTACTGCTGTCAAAAGAGTTGCTAAACCTACTGCCAGATTAAGTAAGATTCATTAACCCATTAATCCAAAGAATGATTAAACCAGAAATAGCTGACATGGTGCCCGTCTTATGCTGTTGGACTGCAATACCCATCATCCATTGTCCATGCTGATTTGGAGCTGAAGGAATTTGTAGTCCAACAGCATCTGGAGCACACTACATTGGATGATTATACCATTCGTAGGTACCTTGAGTTAGTTCATCTCCACATAGCAGCCTAGGAAGCTGCCTTATGTTGAGTCAGGACATTTGTCCATCTAGCTCAATATTGCCAACACTGATGGACAGTGGTTCTGCAGGTTCTCACAAAAAGCTTGGATCCCTGCTTGGATACATCAGGGCAGATGGCTCTCAGAACAGCTCAAAAAATGGGACAAGCTCATCGCTGTTGCCTGACTCTAGGTGGAGGAAGATGCTGGGGTATGTTGCTTAAGACTGACTTATGTCACTCAGAAGTTTCAACATCTTGAAACAAATGAAACTGCCTTCCTACTTTAAAAAATATTGTGATATTTCAATGCCCACCCGCTTTCTATGTGCCGCATCCCCCCCCCCCCCAGCCACTTGTGGTTTGCTTGTCACCACTGGACAGTTATATATTCATATACAGCCACCATGAATCGAAAATATAAAGTACAAAATGAATCAGCAGCTGCAACCATAAAATCATCAGACACAGTAACAGCTCCAGCAATTTAAAACTTCTTTTCCCCACCCCCCTCTCCAGGAACTCAAGGCTGTGGACAATGTCTTCCCCTCTCTTTGATTAAAATAGGTAGGCTGGGCTGACACTTGGTACTTCAGACACCAAAGCTGTGAAACTGCACATAATTAGAGTATTTTATCTTCTTATTTATCAAGGCTGGGAGTGTATGTGGTATTTTGCTGTAAATATCAGCACTATAAAATGTTGCAATTAAAGCAGGGTTGAGTGAGTTCTAACTTTTTGCATGTATAGGGTTTTTGTTTTGTTTTTTACATGGATATATTATATATTTGTATCTTGATTTTCCTCCCAGGAGCTCAGGATGGTGTACATTACCCTCAACCCAATATACCTGAAGGAGCATCTCCACCTCCATCATTCAGCCCGGACACTGAGGTCCAGCACCAAGGGCCTTCTGGTGGTTCCTTCACTGTGAGGTTCTCAGTAGTGACGCCCACCTTGTGGAATGCCCTCCCATCAGATGTCAAGGAAATAACTATCCAACTTTTAGAAGATATCTGAAGGCAGCCCTGTTTAGGGAAGTTTTTTTTTTTTTTAAAAAAATGATATTTATTAGAAGTTTAAAAATTACAGAAAAAAGAAGAAATGAAAACAACAAAAAATTTAACAGGACATACATTACAATATATAAGAAGAAAAAACATAAAAAACAATACAACAATACAGCAAAAAAGAACAATAACATTAAAACACACATCCAATATTCCATATCATTATCTTTCATTTACTTGTTTCATCGACCTCCTCACACCTCCCTTTTTGTATTCTAGTTTAATTAATTGTTTCAGCAAATTCTTTCCATCTTTCTCAATTTTTGTTGTATAACGGTCTAACCTATTAATTAACTCAGCAAATCCTTTCCATCTTTCACTATATTCTGTCATTAAATTTACCTTAATTTATTTTAACC